CCTGGAGTGGGTAAGCCTGAGAACTGAGGAGTCACCAAAGTTTGCCAGAGAGGGATAAAAGGCAGCAAAAATGACTCCCAATGGCACCCTCTTTGATCTGACCAGCACCCTGCCTGATCAGCCAGAAGGACCAGCCGGTGACACCCTTCTGAAGCAACATTGCGCTGAAAGAATCCTCGACTGGCCACTGACAGCAGAATCCAGTGCTTGGGGATAGGTATATCTTGATACCAGTGCTTAGTTTTCATAGCTAGCTACTGTGAGTGTGTGTGTGTATGTGAATGTGTGTGTGTGTTTGAGGGGATCAGCACCAAGGTTTATGCTCTGACTTTTGCATCTGTCCAATAAACTAGAATTTTATGATGATCCTTTGAGTTGGTGCTTTGTAGCCAATAGCTTCATCGCGGGCAGATCTTGTCTGACCAACCTCATTTCTTTCTATGAGCAGGTGACTCATCACCTGGATGAGAGAAAAGTGGTTGACATCATATACCTTGACTGCCAGAAAGTCTTTGGTCTGGTATCCCATGAGGTATGATCAGAAAACTGGAAGATATTGGGCTCAACTGCAGGACTATCAAGTGGGTGTGAAACTGGTTACAGTGTAGGATGCAGAGAGTCCAAATAAATGGACCGGCATTGTCCTGGTGAGATGTGGGCAGCGGCGTACCCCAGGGGTTGGTACTTGGCCCAGTGCTCTTCAACATTTTTATCAATGACTTGGACGAGGGGGTGAAAAGCCCCTTGGCCAAGTTCGTGGACAACACCAAGATATGGGGTTGTGCAGATACACCTGCAGATAGACTGCAGATACAAGCAGACCTAGACAGGCTGGCATGCTGGGCAGAACGGAACCAGATGAGGTTCAACATAGAGAAATGCCAAGTGCTGTATCTGGGAAGGAAGAACCCCCAGCACATCTACAGGCTCTGCATTGCTAACCTGACCTGCACTACAAATGAAAGAGATCTGGGGGTAACAATAGACCCCAGTATGAATATGAGTCAACAATGCAACGCAGTAGCCACTGGGGCCATTAAAACTCTGGTATGCATCAATCAATGCAACTCCAGTAAAAACAAAGAAGTGATTCTCCTGCTTTACTCAACATTGGTGTGGCCGCAGCTGGAGCATTGCGTCCTGTTCTAGGCGTTGCACTTCAACAAGGACATGCTAAAGCTCGAGAGGGTCCAGAGGAGGGCCACCCATATGATCAGGGACTTGCATGGTAAGTCATACGAAGAAAAACTGAGAAACGGCGGACTCTTCAGCCTAAAGAAAAGAAGGCTGAGAGGGGACCTGCTTGTGGCTTACCACTATATCAGAGGCATATATCATGTGAACAACTGTTCACATTAGGAAAAACTTCTTTACAACTAGGGTGTCCAGACTATGGAACAAGCTCCCTCCAGAGGTGGTGCAATCATCTACCCTAGAGGTCTTCAAGAGAAGACTGGATGGTCACCTGGCTGGGATCACCTGACCCCAGATGTCTTTCCTGCTCGTGCAGGGGGCTGCACCCAATGATCCTTCGGGGTCCCTTCCAGCCCTATGATTCTAGGATTATAACTGGTATTTGTCACAGGTTCAAAGATTTTTGTATAGAAAATGAAACATTCTCAGCAGTTATGTTTTCTCTCATTGACAATAGTAATCTTTGGCTAAATCTTGAGGTCTTTATTTCCTGCCTTACTTAGTCAAATCCACACTGACTGCAATGGGAGTGTGATTGAGCAAAAAACCTCAAGAATTCCATTTAAAAAAATGTTCCAAGCTGAAGTGACACCCCAGGTTTCTGTTCTAGATCATGCTGTTTCTTTTTTTCTCAAAGCAACAGTTTCTGAAGTGCTGTTATTTTTTTCCTTATCTGCAAGAAAATTCCTCTTCCAAAATTTTTGCTGATATGTAAAGCCTTTCAAGAAAAACTTGAATTTCCTGCTGATATCTACGATGTGTCATATTTAATCCTTGCCTTCAAAGCCTGTTAACCTGGCAGTGTTAAAAATTTAAAACCAGATCTATATCCAAATGTTGAGGAGTGGACTTTTATAAAAAACAAGTTCAGTTGCTATAAATTATTATTTAAAACACTGCATGTTAACTGACTATACCTAAGTTTCTTTGTTCCTGCTTAGCACATGTATTTGAGAAAGCTGCTATCAATTATCTGACAAAGCTGCTAGCAAATTCAATGAGTTGCATCAGCTCTTTTTTCTTTATTAAACTTACCTTAAGTTCTTGCCTTTCAGGATCTATCGCTTCAATTTGGTAAATATTTCCAGCTCCAGTTCCCTCTAAGATATAGATCATTATAGCTATATGAATAGAAATATAGTCAATGTTAATTTTATTAAGAAAAAGAGGACATACTAGCAAACATACAGAGATACTAACTATGTCCAAACATGTTATAACCTGATATATATACTCGCTCTATCTAATTCCAAAATAATCAGGAAAATAGACAAAATTAGACAAGCCAGAAGATGTATCCAACCATACAATTATGAACTGCATGAAAGCACCATATAAACCCTGTCTTGAACTGGTCTTTGGTATATGGTTTATACTGGCCTGATCTTTTGCCTAAGAGCGCACTACACCAACTTCAGTTCAGTCCAATGTGTATTATAAGCGGTCAGGGTTAAGATCTCCTGCACGGTATCATTGGGAATATAGGAATCCTGTCTTTCCTAAGATGTACAGAAATCATTTCTAGAATAAGTGGTTAATGAGACCTCAGACCTTTAAATCACATTATTTACACAACACACTAGCATTTCTATTGTATCCTGTTTCTAGAATATTAACCCGCTCTTTGACCTTTCCTGGTTGCTTTTTTCCTAAATAATGAGAATCCCAGAACACTGTAACAAGTATTCCCAGATGAAAGTGATATAAATATACAGTTTAATGAGTGAGATACATTTTAATAACCAGTAAATGTACAGTTAACATTAATTGTAGCTGGCATTGTTAGCTAATGCCAGGCAGTTAGATAGCTCAGATATCTATGTTTACTGATTTATGGTAGCTCTAGCTGAGAGTTAAGATGATGGATTTCTTTGCACAAAGCTCCCACGTACAGCATGTTTCATGCCGTGCTGATTCCCTGGAGTGTCTTAATGTCAAATATCATTATTATTTGTTTCTGGTAGCACCCACAATGTGCTAGGCACTGTCCATGCACAGAAATGACATAATCCCTTCCCCGAAGAGAAGTTCATTTTATCACTGGCACACTGTAGTGTATAAAAGCAGGAACCCCGGAGGTGTTTACTTGCAATATGTTAAATTGGATGACTTTCAAGTAGACTTAGATGTGCACTAAATCTGGCACTAGAACTTTGGGCTGGGTTCAAGGGAGGACTTAGGGATCTGGAGCAGGACTTTGGGAGACACCAGCTACAGGCACATGTTACTTTCATCGTGCTATATTTGCATTTAGAGCACTAGACAATGCAAATGTGCACATGTCCAAGCTATTCATAGCGCAACAGGGATGACAGATCCTCCACAGAAAAGTTCCTTGTGCACAGTGAGGATCTCTTGGCCTCCCAGCATCCCAGAGTGCTCTGTTCTCCCTCCTTGCTTTCAAGGGGGAGGGAAAGAGAGCAGATGGCTCCCTGATGGCCCACAAGGAACAGAGCTGCAGCTCTACCACACACTGTGGCTGCTATAGAGCCATTGCTGCCCTGCTTAGTCAGGATGGCAGCAACGGCGGATGGGTGGCAGAGGCCACTGATCAGCTGTTGTCAGTGGGAGAGGGAGGGGTGTTGCAAGTAGCTCCATCAGCTGTTGCAACCCTGTGGTAACAGCTGAGGGGGCTGCTGGCTGCAGCACCAGCTAATAGTGTGCAGGAGAACCCCCAGTCAGTGTTATCACTGCAGGAGGCTTGCAGGCACCATGGGGGATGATGCCAGCTGGAGGAAGTCCCAACAGAGATGCAGCCTCTCTGCCTTGGCTGCCGCACTGACAGGTTTCTGCGGGGGCAGGGGGAACAGCTGCCTATTGCCCCCTGGCTGGGAGCATGATTTTGTCGTACATGTGCACTCCCCTAGAGCACTTCAGTTTTGTAGTGCTACAAGTGCCTCAGCTCTTAAAATTCAGCACCTAAAACTCATGAGGTGTGTCTCTCATTTTGGCCTGGACATTCCTGAGGCATCTGGGGCTGCAGTTCGGAGCATGCACAAAACTGCCAGAGCCTGAGCCTGTGGGAATCCTGGAGTGGCATTGATGTCCCCTGGGGAGCCAAACCTGGTGGACAGACTCAAAGCCTGAAACCCATCAGTGGGACTGAGTCCCTCACAAAATCCAATTATAGCTGCCTAATTTTAAAATGAGTCCAGAAGAGGTAGTAGCATTGTCAACCTTATATATAATAGTCTAGGACAGGGGTGCTGAACCAAATCCAGCCCACAAAGCTATGTCATCCACCCTCAGGCCCCCCATGGATCCAAAAATTTGGCAGAGGGGGAGCAGTGGTAGCATTAATTGCCATTTCCCAGCTGTCAAATTTCCATGTGCATGGGGAGCCCTGCAGGCAGATAGCTTGGCCCTTTGTGCTAGATTGGGCACACAGAGCTGGGGCTGCACAGGACCCTGCCCAGGTGGCGCAGAGCTGGTCCAGGTGGCGCAGGGCTGGATTCAGGTATGCAGAGCCCAGTCCAGGTGGCGTGAGGTGGGATCTGGACAGCATTAGCTGAATCCAGATGCATGGGGCCCAGTCTGGGTTTGCGCTGACCAGCCTTGTGCATGAAGCCCACTCAGGCTTCAGCCTCCAGACTTGTCCCATGCCACTCATCTGGCCCATGGGACTAAAAGTTTGAGGATTACTTACCGGCCTAGGGAATGGGAGACTTGGGCTCACTTCCCACCTCTGCCTAAGGAAGTTCAAGCCCATACCCCTCACAAGATAGCCCTAATCTCCAAGTTTTGGGAATGGGAAGCACCTCTGGATGAAGCTGTGCCACAGTGCAGAGGAATGTGGGGGGTCTTGAGGCCAGAAAGAGAGTACAAGAAAGAATGAGAGTCTATAGGCTAGTAGCAAAGACATGCAGCTTGGGGAGGAGTGGGAGTGGGGGTAGGGGAGAATTTTGGATCCTGGTCCTTATTCCAATTGCTGTTTATATATTTTACATCAAACAGTTACTGGATGAAAAGAGAACAGAAATAATTCAGCTCATTCTCCAACACATTGGCCAACTGCTGGAGGGGATAATGTGTTCCAGCCTCCCTGGAGGTCTGGAAGGAGGCAGGGGCAACATCAGCTGTCATATGAAAGAGATGGAATCCTTTGCCTCTTATCAGGCACTGTCACAGATCACAACCCCAGGACCTCATGTTTACATTTCTTGCACGTTGGTGCAAATCCATTGTGTTGCTGTACAGCATCAGTAGAATGCTGTTATTGTTCATCAAAAGCTCAGGTAATTAATAAAGTGTGTTAAATGTTGTTGTTTCTCCCAATCCAAGTCAGTATTTCACAAACTGCTTGAAGTTATATCTATGACTTAGGGTGCCTATGTTTAGGTGCCGTGCATTAACTCATGGCACTTTGCACAGAGCACCATGAGTTAGAGCCCCCCCACAACAGATGTTCGCCTTCTGGGTCTGGGTGGGAGGGCGGGGGAGAGGCTTTAGCCACACTGTACCAGCCCTGGCCAGCAGGGAGGAGATCTCCAACATCCTCTGAGGAGGTTGCCGAACCACCCCTTTCCCAAGCCCTGCACCCCCAGCTCCAGGGCAGTCAGCAGGAGAGGGAGAGGGAGAGGGAGAGAAAGGGAGCAGCACACAGCAGGACCCAAGAGGCGAGGAGGCTTCCTTCCCCAAACCCCTGCCCAGGCATCTTGACAGCAGCAGCTTGGCTTTGCCATGGCTGGAGCTGGGTGGGAGGAAGAGGTGGACCAGAGCCCCCTCACCTTGCCCGGCTTCCCCCAGTACCCCAACTGGGTTAGCTGTGGGGGGCCTGCGAGGTGAGGGGTCTCTGTTCCACCCTGCCCCCCATCCAGCTCTGGCCAGACAAAACCCAGCCAGCAGCTGTGTGCTGCTCCCTCCCTGCTGCCAGCCCCACCCCCCCACTCAGCTGGTGCTTGCTGATATAATCACCAGCCCAAACCTGCAAAGACATGAAAAATTAACCCTCGAGGAAGCACAAGTTCCCTAAGGTCAGGTCCCAGAAGACTGGAAAAGGGCCAATGTGGTCCCTATTTTCAAGAAGGGGAGGAAGGAGGAGCCAAGTAATTATAGGCCAGTCAGTCTCACCTCCATCCTTGGAAAGGTCTTTGAAAAGATTATGAAGGATCATATTTATGGGAGTCCAGTGGGAAAAATAATGCAGCAGGGAAACCAGCATGGATTCGTAGCAGGTAGAGATCATGCCTGACCAATCTGGTTTTGTTTTATGGCAGGGTCACAAAACGCTTAGATGCAGGAGGAGAGGTGGATGTCGTGTTCTTGGATTTTAGCAAGGCCTTCGATAGGGTATCTCATCCCATTCTCATAAATAAATTAAAAGGCTGTGATATAGATGTTTGCATGGTCTGGTGGGTGGCAAATTGGATTAGCAGTCGCACCCAGAGAGTGGTAGTAGACGGGTGGGTATCAACCTGGGAGGATGTGTGTAGTGGGGTCCCAGAGGGTTTAAGTCCTTGGACCTGTGCTCTTCAATATCTTCATCAGTGACTTGGATGTGGGTGTGAAGTGTACTCTGTCCAAGTTTGCAGACAATACTAAATTGTGGGGTGAAGTGCACACTCCAGAGGGTAGGGAATGATTGCAGGCAGACCTGGACCAGTTAGAAAAGTGGGCAGTACACAATAGGATGCAGTACAAGGACAAGTGCAGAGTGCTGCAGCTAGGGTGCAAAAATATCCAGCACACCGACTGGCCAGGAAGTGACCTCCTCAGCAGCACAGAAGAAGAAAGGGATCTCGGAGTCATAGTGGACTCCAAGATGAACATGAGTCGTCCGTGTGACGAAATCATCAGCAACACTAACCACACTTTATCGTGCATCAAGATGCATGACAAATAGATCCAAGGAGGTGATACTTCCCCTCTGTGTGGTATTGGTCAGACCGCAGTTGGAATACTACGTCCAGTTTTGGGCGCTGTACTTCAAGAAGGACGTTGATAGACTCAGGAGGGTCCAGAGGAGGACCGCTCATATGGTTAGGGGATTATAGGACAAGCCCTATGAGGAGAGACGGAGGGACCTGGACCTCTTCAGCCTCCACACGAGAAGGCTGAGAGATGATCTTGTGGCTGCTTACAAATTCATTAAGGCAGGGGTGTCCAACCTTTTTGAACGTGG